ATATTTTTCAACAAAAACAAGAAAAAAAAATTTTTAAAAATTTGTTTTTGGTCGATTTTTCGATTCTCTAATTTTGTTTGCAAATAGTATATAACGTCATGAAACGTAAAGAAATGATGTTTTTAGGGGGATGTCTGTATGTATGTGTGTGCAGATTCGGGTTTTTGGTGATTCAATTTTAGAAAATTCAACGAAAAATACGGTGATATTTGCGGCTAAAAATTTGAAATTTCGGCTCATGATAGCTATGAATGAGCCTCACTTTGGTGCTTCGTTTCAGCTCGATCGGTCAAGTAGTTCCTGAGATATAATCACTTGTTTACATTTCGTTTTTCCGCAATATCTCGCCAACAACTGCAGCGATTACAATGTTTTTTCGAACTACTCGTCTCGATGGACTCTATCTAGATCACTCATATCATATATACCGATTTGTGCAAAGTTTGGAGATATTGCCGTTTATCCGTTTTTCCATAAAAAACCTTGTACGCACGATAAGTCAATGAAAAAACGAGCTAGGGACTTGAAATTCGGTATGCTGCTAGTTTTCTGTGTATTGAGAAACCGATTTTTTTCATAATCGATGTTTTTCCAGAAAAATCGATTCACAATATCGATGTTTTTAAACAATATCGATTATCGAAGAATCGATGTTTTTTAAAATATCGCCCCTCTCTGAACAATGCGCTAGTACATTGCAGGGCTCCCTACTTCTCTCACACCGATAAGTTTCCTGACCTACATTGTTTAATGGTTTAAATCAAACCTTGGATATTTAAATATGAATGTTGGAAAAAAATTCGGACGAAAAAAATGGCTAGAGTACTAGGACATTCTTAAATTTGTTTGGAGGAAGAGAAATGTGTGAAAAATTGCTGGAATTTTCGTTAGGAATTTCTTGGCAGATTTCACCTGAAATATTCCTCAATCTATTTGTCACTTTCTTCGATTGTTCAACAAGTGAATAATGTGATTCACATGGAAAGTCTATTTCCCACAAATTTATTCTTGATTTGCTGGATCTAAATGAAGCATTAGGGTAATTCTCGTAAATCGATCACAAAATACTTCTTTTTGTGATGGAGTGAAAGGAAGTGTAAACGGAGACTTATACGGGTAAAATCATCAGCAGACCTGGACGTAATTTTATGGACTATAAAAAAGTCCTCTTGACATCTTGTTTCTAAAATGAATCGTTTTCTTGATTATCGCAATCAATTTGACAGAAAAATTTCGAAAATAAGGTGGTTTCAACAATCTTATCCAGATTATTTTGAAAATATTTCTCGCTATGATAGATTTAGGGGACAAATTTCTAAGGAGGTTTTCTGGAATTTCTTACTGAAAACGTCTTTTTATGAATTTCTTTAAACCTCATTCTATTCAATGCAGCTGTAGTGCTCAAACTAGCAAATCAATTCAACTATTCATCAAGGAAGGGGGCAACACCTTCCTAAGGACCTTTTTTATCAATGAGTAGTGTAGCGGGTCATTATGAATAGTATAATTATGAGTAGTGTAGCGGATCATGATCTCATAAAATTTTTCCTCAATTAAATATTATGGCCCTCCTTGAGCTCTTTAATAATGCACCTCAAACAATCCCCTAATTCACCCTCACTCTGCATATCTGGGTTAACTGTCGCTGTTTATGATTCAAGAGGACAATTACATCGAATTGCCAAGGACCAAACCGGTTCTCTCCTCTTTCCTCCTTAAGTATTAAAAACAAGTACAAGTGTCTTTAATGAATCCGAACAGTCCTCCAAACGCATCTTCCTCTTTCCTGAATGAAAGTTTTTGTCGACGTAATTCACTTTCGGCATCACAACTCCTGCACTACCTCAGGGCCACTCGTCTTATCCTTCATTTATTCCATATTTGAATGCTTAAATTATTCATCTGTGTCAAATCATCATTATTACGATCCAAGGAATGCTGTAAGTGGGTCATCATAACTGATGACATCATGTCTGCACGTAATTGAGACTTCAGTATATTCATGACCGCCAAAAGCTGGAGGTAAACCATGTTTTCATCCTGAAAGATGGAGTTTTCAAGAAGAAATGCACTTGACTCAATTTGTAAATTCCGAATGCACACTTTCTGGTTTAATTACCCGAGGTTTTAAAGGACTTTTGAATTCTAATCTAGTTTTCAACCATCAGAATTGATCCTCCCCGTCTCATTAAATGCTACTGGAATTAATCCAGAGTTCTGATTAATTAAGTTCATTCAGAGGTCATGTCGTAAACGGAAAAAAATAACTGGGTGTTCCATTGAAAAAGTCCAAGGTTACAAACGAGAGTGAGTCATCAGTCTCGCGTGAGTGAGCATGGGACCTTTCTGTGTATATTAACTTCTTAATGGTATTCGTCATTACACGAGGTTTGATCAATCGTTGTTTCTTAAGGATGTGGAATGTTTCGAATATGAATTTAAATATTTTGTATGACTCGATAGTTGAGTCAGTATATGAGCGTCAAAGGTGCGAGAATTTACAGAGAATAAAATAGGGTTTTTTTTACGTTGAAAAATATAATTCGGCAATTATGATGAAAAATTTGTTTTCATCGTCCGGGGATTTTTTCCAATTGTTTGCCTTGAAAAAAAACACGTTTTTAGTGCTGAAATAATGAGATAGGACGATTATCAGATGCTGACATTTTATTATGGATTTTTGAATCACTTGCGAGTAAAAAAAAAAGAAATTGCTGCACGAGTGTAAAATTCTCAAAAACAATTTTTATTGCTTTTCAAGTATGATTCGAGAACTCACTGTTAGCGCATGTCCGTATCCTTAAATATTTTTTCTATCAATTCTCGTGAAGAATCGAATTATGAGCGGAAATTGAGTTAGCGTCGAAAAGTTTCGGTGAAACTAAATTTCTTTGATTTCGATGTGAAAAAAGGCCATTACTGTTGGCAATGAAATCATGCAATAAACTCGTTACATTCTCATATAAAAAAAGGTCGTTATATTGTCATGAAAGAACATTAACAATTTATAGATTTTTCAATCTTTTTCTCATCAGGATAAGTGAGAATTGAATCTCCTTGCAGCAATATGAGAAAATTCTAGATGACTCAGACTTACTGAGACTAAATTGATTTTTTAATCAACATTCAAGCGGAGATTACGACGATTTATTTTATTTATAAGGGCAGAATGTTTCGTGATATTTGTAGGTGGACAAAAAATTGATCAAGGGAAGATGGCCCTGGGGCGAGGAAAACATTGTGTAGTTATCAAACCATTCACCCTAGTCTGGTCACCAAGCATGACTCTGCGACTTGGTCACCTCCGCGGGGATTCCCCGTAGTGTTATTTAGGCTTTACGTTGCCGAATTCACTCCACACTACCCGGGCGCGTTCAGCGAGTTTCCGGCAACGTCGCGTCATGGGCAATTTCATTTAACTTGGGAAAAAATAATTCATCTGTCAGAAATCATTTGTTTTCTTTACGAATTTTGGTAAATATGCTGTTCTAAAAACTGATATAATTTTTTAGAGACTTCAGTTGACAAAGTTAAATTTTTTTGAATTTTTTCGATTAGCCGGTCAATTGTAATTAAAGTACGACAGTCTAGGCCCTAGAAGCATCAGCGAGTCAGCGAGTCAGTCGAGTAGGTACCTACGAGCTACAAAAAAAATCTGAAGAAAGTTTCTTATGCCCCTGAACCCTGTAAAAAATCTCCGTTTACTTTCGAGAGGGTGAGGTTCTGGGGTTAGGCAATCTGACATGCTTTCTCTAGACTAGCTTAATAAATTAAGATGAAGAATTCTTTGTGATGACGCTATAAAGGTTAGTAATACCAGCAAGTCGAAAACCAAGTTGAAAGTCATAATATATTGGCTATAAGATGACGGATGACATTAAATATTGAGTCCCAATATTTTAATTAAACATGAGCCACGGCTAATTTATGACGAATTCTCGTGGTGTGACTGACAAAAATGAAGTATATTGTTTTAACACTCCCATCAATTCGAAATTCAGGCCGATAGAGTGTTCAATTTTCACAATGAAAGTAACATGAGAAAAGCCGATTTTCGAGACCAATAAAGAATTCTACAAAGGTGTGGATTTTATGTTGAAACCAATTCAAAGCATCAACATTAGAAATTGATATGGAGCTGTCACATCAATTTCAGGAAATTTTCAACCGTGTAAAATCATTCGCACTTCCATTCCCTGATTATTCAATAAGTTTTTTAAACTGAATAGTCATTCGAAATTGGCCTTGACAAAAAGTTTCAACCATCCAGAAAATAAAATAAAACACAAACTCTCTCACGAGGATAACAACATCTAAAACTTCTCGAAAATTAGATGCAGGAAGTGCGAAATTTGGAGCACTTTAAACTCACACTGTTAAGACGAATGATGTAAGAAATCCCTCCAAAGATATGAAATTCAATTCGTCGTGGATTTCAAGCTATGATTTGCGTCATGATGCCTTGCTCCGCATTTAGACGATGTGCTGTCACTCCAACGATCCTACAAATTACGAGAAACTACTTTTATCTGAAATCAAATGGGGCGTCAGCACAGCTGTTTCCGAGTTTATCTTTTATTGAAATTAAAATGTAATAAGCAATTGGAGAATGTTAATCATCTTAGGAATACTTCGATGCTCACTAATGGTGATGTCACGTTTGATGTTTGGGTAATGGGTCGGTTACTCATTGCCAGTGTGATGAAGTCGCTCGAGGGTCATAAATCATCAAACTGTGATATTGATAACCCTAAATGAGTGGGGAATGCTAGCAAAATCTATTAGATGATGGTTGGCTATTATTTTGTATAAATCTAACATTCGTTTCCTTGATTCAACCTCAGAAGACGGTTCGGGAAAGAATAAGTACCAGATATAAATCGGACAGTTGACAATTATAAAGGATGGTTAAGACTAGAATTAACTCTCAATATTGCATTAAAAAGAAATCTTTGCGTGGCTTTCTTTCAAATTTTAATTTTGAATTTTGTGTGTTCCAGGCCAAAGGATATTACGAGATGGGCTACGGAACGGAAATGAGCGGCTGTGGCCGGTTTATGAAGTACTCACTATTCTTCGCAAACTTCGTAATTTTCGTAAGTTCCTTGAAATGCAATCAGCAACACTCTTCTCTTCAATCTAATCGAGCATCACGCAATGCTTTTCAAGACTGTAATAATTTAGATACCACTTTCGTACGTTTAGTATCACTGCCAAGGTGTCAGTAAAAGCGTCAGAAGATTTATTTATAGTGTATCAAGACTATTTGAAGAGTTATGGTGAGGCAGTTGCGAGATTTTTGGATATAAATAACAGTTAATTTGATGGGTGATGAGACAATTGAGTGGGGAATATGAGAAGATGTATCCTGGCGAATTATTTTGGGATAATGAGGCATTCGGGGACTGATTATCGAGTGAGGGTGACGAGGAGGAGTTCTTTCAACATTAAAGCAGATGTTTTGATACATTGTGCTCACATCACTCATTTGTGAGATAATAATATAATGAATTTTTATTAAACTGAGGAGTCTATTTAATTATTTTTGACATTAGATTTATCAATTTCAATTCTTCTGAAAATTTGTATACAGTTCAATCTTAGTACAAGATACCACAGGTAATCCAGGCGTCAGAGGTTGAAACTGACCAGATTGACCGAATAATTCCTAGAGAAAATTTTTTTTTTCTATCGCTTTATTTTATGTTTATCAAGTAAATATTAGAAATGCGTACAAAAATTCAAAGCGGAACATTTGTTTAAACAAATGAAAAAATAGATTTTTACGTTTTTTGCGAATATCGCCGGTAATATCCCTTTTACGATAAAAAAACCCGAAGTACAAAATTATTCCCCATTAAATTACCAACAAAAAAGGTCTTAACATATTTTTTGATTGGGATGATAATTTTGAAGATATGATCTGCGGAGGAGCGCGCCACCCTCCGAATCTTACGCTGCGCTGTAACAGACACCGGACTACATGTGATGCCATTTTTAACATTGGAAATTGTTTTTTTATTTTAGCACGAAACTTTACAAGTTTATACAGCTTATCAATATAGGATAGAAAAAAATAGAAAAGAAGAATTATAATAACAGAGAAGAATATGTAACCTAAAACAGAAGGCCGTTCATATAAATTCGTGTATAGATGTGTACATTGGTGTCTTAGTTAGGTCTTATATTTTGAAATTGCTTTCGTTCAGAAACTTCGTGATGATGTCTATGCATATGAGATCTAGGTCTTTCAGAATATTTTGGCTAGAGTATGGAGGGAGGAAATTTTTCCTTTGTAATGCGTTGAGCATATTTCGTCTCGGCTGATCATGTCAGGAGCAGTCCCACATTACATGCTCGAGGTCTTCATTCGGGTGGTTACATTCACATCAGGATGATTGAATAAAGTTTTTCCTCTTCAGAGAGGCTGCGAGATGATAATGATTGGCTCTAGCTCTATTTATCCAAACAATTGAGAAGCGGGAAAGTTTTTTTGTTGTGAAACCAGGTTTTCCTTTTTTTTGTAATAGTTCCTGAAATATTTTTTCCCTTTGCCTCTTCGGTTATCATCTGCACTCTCCTCTATACAAATTTCAAGTGTCGAATCTAATGATTCTCTTTTAAAATTTTCGCGCAAGTCTGTGAATGGGACTCGAAACTCTATGTTGGGAGGTGATTTGGTAGCCTCGCTAGCCAAAAGATCTACTTGTTCATTGCCCGCAATTTCTGTGTGGGAGGGAACCCATTGAAATTTAACAAAATTTTGACCATTAATTTGTCGTATAAACATCTCGCAGTTTTTTTTGGCTTCTAATATTAATTCGTTGTCTCTAATACTCGGTGTTGGCCGAGAAAGACAAGTGAAACATTGGAAAAATGATGCTTTTTCGATTATAACGCAGTCAGAGACCTTTGCATGTAATAGAAATTACAATAATGATGATGAAGCCAGTTAATACGAAAAATTCGCATGGTATAAGTTTAAGAATATCCCGCATGGAGAGACTGGTAGATGTACGATTTTTCTACCTGCGGCCCCCATGAGTCCCTTTCAAGGCCAGAAAATCATTGAAAAAAATCATTGAATAAAAAATGAATTGATGTAGCATTATCCTGAATAAATTTTTTTTTTTTTTATGCTTATTTTATATCGCTTCGAGTCTGATGAGACTATATGGCGATTGATCAAGACTTTAAAAATGGTTAGATCTCACCATTCTACCCGGCCAGGAATCGAACCTGGAACCTATCCATTGTGAGGCAACGGCCTTAACCACTACGATCCTGAATAAATGATTATTATACTTGATTTAATATCATAAGTGATTATTGCACTTGATTTTATTTTTCAAATTTGTTTCCTTGAAACATTCATAATAACTACTGGAATTATGTTGACTGTAATTCATATTATGAGATGCCAAGATCTCTTCATTATTTTATGGGAAAATTCCTGATTTGTTTATTTTTGGATCAGGAATAAGATAAATTTGTGAACTATATGGGTTTTGAGAGAAGAAATATTGCTTGGAGATAATTTAAATATCATTCAATTCCAACTGATCGATGCATTCGCCTATGCTAGCATTACGCGAGAGTTGGAGGGTGGCGCGCTCCTCCGCACGATATCTTTAAAACTATCATCGAAATCAAAAAATATGTAAAAACCTTTTTTGTTGGTAATTTAATGGGGAATAATTTTGTACTTCAGGTTTTTAATCGTAAAATCGATATTACCGGCGATATTCGCAAAAAACGCAGATATCTATCTTTTCGTCTGTTTAAACAAATGTTCTGCATTGAATTTTTGTACGCATTTTTGATATTCCTCTTGAGAATCATTAAAGAAAACAATAGAAAAAAAAATTTCATCTAGGAATTTTCTGAACAGAAAAACCTCTGACGCCTGGACTAAGGGACTGTAGGGGAATAAAATTCCGAGAATTACGTATCCCTCACTTTACTTGCGCTCAGAGGGGCAAATTTTTTGATTTGATATTCTTCGTACAAGATACTAGACGATTTTCATTTTTCATGATCATTTGAGTACGATTCCTGATGTGAAACACGAATGTTTGATTAGAAAGTATTTTTCCTTTTCAAACTAATAATTTAGAAATTCGGAAAGAGTTAGTTTGTTAATAGGGACCTGCGAGGCAAAATTGGGACTTTCATTTCAATTTTGGTTTTCATAAAAATTGGGTAGAATTTTGTTTTTTGTCTATCCATTTTCCATCTAAGAAATGGACATCAAAAATAGTTATTTTACCCATTTTTATGATCGCTGCGTTTAATTTTTTTACTAGCAGTAACGAGTGCCCATTCGTTTTCAAATTCAGTTGATGTGCAATTAAGTTCTAGATCATAGATACATATATTTCCCGTAATTTCTGCAATATGCCAACTCCATTCCTACTCAGTTCTAGTGTTGAGTCGTCAAGTATCTTGTCAGAGAATACAAAACGAAAAACATTGAAGCCAGAAAGTGGGGGTATCACTCGGCACGGATTCAGACCTAGTATCTTGTACGAAGACTGGACTGTATCTAATAAGGGAGGAGAAATTTTATTCTATCCAATTTTAAACATGAATTATGAACTTTACTGTTGATTCTTTAATAGACGATACACTGCTGAAAGTGGTGAAAGAAAATAGAAAACGTCAGTGAATCATTTTGCGAATACTTTCTGAAGGAAGAATTTTAGGAAAATTCATGCTGAGACCTTTCACATGTATGAAACAATCTGGATTATATTCAGAACATGATCCCCTAGTCAACATTTCCCGGCGAAATTTCGTCTTGAATCCAACTCAAGATAAAAATATATTTTAATGATAAGATGACTTTCGTTTAGGAGACCATTTATTAGTTTGACAGGTACATGTAGAAATGTGTTTCGACTCGGGTTTCATAAAATACTGGTTAAATCATTATTATTTTTACTACACTGAGTGGAAAATCGACGAAATATCATGAAAATAATTCCTTGGATTTACATATTCGATCAATTCATAGTAAGTTTTAGACAAGAAATCGGTGCTCTTCGGGCTAGAGGTGTATGGTATTAAATGAAAAAATATTTTTTCTCGAAATCAGATCCGTTTCTAAAAATAGAAGGAAAGTTTAAATGAAGGAAAAAAGGTCATCGAGGGGTTTTTCACTACCGAATACCGGGACACAATGACTGCTGATTTATACTGATTTTAAGGATGTTCTACACCCTTTCTGCCAAAATTTACGTTTTTTCAATTTTTCTGGCAAACTTATGATGGAATTGACGTGAAAAAATATAACGTTTTTGCGTTTTGTCATTATTTAATGACTGACGAAATTTTAAGGTGGTGCGAACATTTTCCTGCGTTTTCTCTAAACTTTTAAAAAGAATCACAAAACTGTAGAAAAAACGCATGAAAATTATCGCACCACTACGCAACTTCGTGAGCCATTAAAGAATGACAAACCACAAAATCGTTATATTTTTTCACGTCACTCCCATCGATAATTTGCCAGAAAAATGAAAACAACGTCAATTTTGGCTAAAAGGGTGTCGAACATCCTTAAGGAGTTTTATAGGACTTTGTCACCGATTTCATGATTTCAACTGATTTAAAATGGTTTCAAATTTTTCATTTCACCTATCTGCGCAATTGCCTCAGGGTAACTGAGCAAATCGAACTAGGTGATAAAATAAGACCTTGTGAATTGCGAACAACTTGCAACGAGAAACTCATTTTACAAGGGGCATTGAGAGGGATCGAACGGGAGTGATAGGTAGGAACATTGACAGTCCCCAGGGTTAAACTGGAACAATGGGTGGAGAAATGAGCTTGGTGTGAAAAATGTGAATTTGTTTTATGTCTTTGGGTGACATTAAAAATGGTGTCAAAATGTCCGTATTGATCACAAATTCAAAAACTACGGATGACGTTTCCTCCGAAGCTTACGCAGGTCCCATGCCCAGTTCCATCGATTTACTCCAACGATAAAAAAATCACCTCAATTTTTTTCAACAAAAAAAGTGTTCAAATACCTAATAAGAAAATTTTTAGACTAATTTTAGAGTTTAAAGTCTTTACACTCGCTCTTTTACTATAA